AACAGACAAGTTGCTGTCGTTTTGTTCTTCCATCTAGTTGTGGAGGATGTTGCTTCACTGGCCCAAGTTGGCACCATCATTGCACTCTTTCCGGGCGAGGCAGATCAGTCGCCGGCTTCTGGATGGCCGCTCACGCTGGCTGCTGGCTACACACGGTAGCTCATGGCAACCCACTGCAGCAGGGGCTGCAGCCTACGCCGTCGCCAGCGACTCACAGCAGCCCAGCTCCAGGTTGAGCTGTTTATCAGCATCTTAGCTGTGGAGGGCAGTATCACTGGCATTCATATGTGGGATCCAAACCAGGGTCCTCTGGCGTCCCAAGCGAGTTCTTAACCATCGCGCCACTCGGCCGGCCCCTTGCTGTCATTTTCTATCTGATGAACTCAGAGGCCTCACCAGATGGGTGAGGACTGGAAACCACTTCTGGGGAAGCCACTTGCAGTCCCCCATCCCCATCTGCCATTGAGAAGCAAAGAGGACAGGCTCTCCTCTACTGATGAGAGGAATCTCTGATCAAGCACCCAGAGCAGCTACAATGCCCAACTAGCCACCTCAATCTCTTCCAGAAAGCAGGCTCCTAGTCAACTAGCCAAATGCATCATTTCTGACCCATGTCATCCAGCATCTAAGATCCAGTAAACAGAGACTATCAATAGAATTCAGCTTTTGAGACTTATTTACAGTGGTGGGCTGATGGGAAGATGAATGACTTAAAACTGGGTGCTCTCTGGCTATTTAATACATATTTTTGTCTGTTGGTTGGTTGGTGACAGGCCACTGCTCTGAAAATTTTCCAGGCTAGAAGGTTCTGGACAATGCTCAGTAATTGGGACTTCTGTCCAAGCTTCAAAGCAGACCAGCACAGGTCTGTCTTTCAAAGGTTCTGCCCACAGGTCCTTCTGTAGCCCACCTGGGGTCCTAGTTACGCCCCTTGATGTGCATCAAAGTACCTCAGCTCCACCTTCCCTATGTTTATTATCTGAGCACATGGATCTGGACTTGATCAGCACTCTAAAATATTCACTCTCCAAACGCCTGTCACAAATACAACCTCGAACATCTCATGTCTATACATGACTAGAAAGAACAGACAATACATCGGGAGTTTTAGGAAAAATGTATCTAACGTCCATGACCTTAAAATCAGGTATTTCAGCCTCTTGAAACCTCCCAACTCTTACCCATCTCCCCCATAAATCTCCACCATGCCCGTTCTCAAAGAGGCTCCCTATTCAGCATCAGGACCTGGGGCTGAGAGCTACTGTATCTGGTGGGCTTTGTCAGCTTCCTGTCTCACCAACCTCCATGAAGTGTGAATAAAATAATCATGAGATTTTAAATTTTTATGTAAATGTTTGAGTGGATAGTGCAACCAGATGTTACGATGTCTATGAGAAAATCCCAAAGAGCATACTGACAAATTATCTGAAATAATCCAAATTTTAAAAGGTGGATGCACATAAGATTAATATTTTAAAAATATTGTGGTTGCTTCTGAAGGGAAGAGGGAAATAAGATTGGGTGGAACACACTGGTAGATACAGGTATGGGTAACGTTCTAATTCTTGTCTTGAGTGGTGGGATCCTGTGAATTCATTATGTCACTAAAACACACACACACGTAACTAAAACAAAAGGCTATTACGTGTGGGTCAAGGATGAGAGGATGATAGGAGCCAAGGATTATGATCAATCCGATTCTGTGTACTTGAAGCCCAAAAGGATCACAGAGGAAAAGATACAGTGTAAAGTCTCTTGCCTGATTCTGTCCCCGTCCAACCAGTTCCCGCGTCCCCTTGCAGAAGAAGCCACTGATTTAGTTTCTTCTAGCTAGTTGCTATGCATCCAGAAGCAACTACAAAGATAAAGTCTTATTAACTCTTCCCCGCTCCTTAACACAAGATGTGACTCTCCACACATGGTTCTTACCCAAAGTTTACGTGGCCCATGAGGACTTCAGAGGCCAGAGATGGTGTGGGACAGGGGGCATAAGGTGCTGTTCAAGCAAAACAGTGTCATATGGCTTAGATAAGGCTCCTAAACGTTGGAGTCTCATAAGACACTTTGATAAGTGAAAAACATTCATGGGCCATGCCTGATGAATGTACAGTAATACCTTGGTTTGCGAGCATTTGTTCTGGAAACAAACTACTCGTATTACAAGACATCGCTCGTTTACCACGTTAAAAGGTATTAGANCAGGGATTAAATGAAACATGTGTCAGGCACTTATAACTGTTTATCTCATGCGGGTCTAATAAATGGTACTTCTTATTACTGGAAGTAGTAATAAATAGTATGAATGACTGCTCTGATCACAAAAGCACAAAAACACAGAAAATTTTAGGGCTGGCTGAGTGGCCTGAGTGGCTCAGTTGGTTAAGAGCTCGCTCAAGAGTGTGAGCTCTGAGTGGTTCGATTCCTAGCCCGAGCTGAGCTGCTGCTGAGCTAGCTGCCAACAGGTAGCAGGATGGCTCAGCTAAAAAAAAAAAACAAAAAACAAACAAACAAAAAACAATGGAAATTTTTTGGCAGCAGCTGTCAAAAAAGCAGAGGGCTGAATTCACTAAGTCTGTCTGTTAAGCCATCCAAATTTTAAGAAAAATTACCCTAAGTTTCAAAAGCCTGCTTGTACCTTTGTTTTCAACATACATTTCCCAAATTCTTGGCCTGCCAATCTTTCCTCATCGCTAATGTAAACACTGGGACCTTTGGTTCCTCTCCCGTCCTCCGTGGAGATGGGGAAGGGCTGGTCTGTATCCCTGTGGCTGTTGCCCCTGGTGACACTAAGGTTTGTCTGGCCAGCCATGCCCCCTGGCTGCCCATAGGACACCCACGGAGGAATTGGCCTGGAGGAGGATGCAGTCACCTTCTCCCATGTGAGCCTCAAAGGCTGACAGGAAATTGGTCAGAGATTGTATACTTATGAAAGGAAAATGCCCTCAAACACTTGCCTACTGGTTCTTCCTGCTTCCTGTTTGCTGAAAGGGTTATTTTTTTTTTTTTAAGGATGGCCTGGCTGAGCATCTCACACACGATGGGCCATTTATTCACTCAACACTTGGTTACTAAGCATGCTTCTTTCGTTATCCCATTTCATCGTCAAAACAAAATATCCTTCAAGTGTATGTGTAGTTAGTTACGTGGTTATCTCTATTTTAGAAACAGGAAATGAAGACTCCACGAGGGTGGGGAATTTGACTGAGGGGCTCTCTGCTGGCATACTCACCTCTTTCTTAGCCTCTGCTCTTTCCCTCTTATGCTACATCCCTTTTCTGTGGCCCTGTCCCACTTCACCGTCAAGCAAACTCTTACGCGGTCTTCTGTGTCTGGACCCAATGTCTCTTCCTCCGGAAAGTCATCTCTAACCTCTCTACACAGAATTGTTTCCTTGTGCCTTTGTGCTCCCAAGACACCCAGGTCATATAACTACTGGGCTGTAATTATTTGTTTAAATGTCTCCCTTCCCCACCTGACTGGCTCTGGAGCTGGGCTCTACCTGATGCATTTTCATGTCTTGCCTTGGTTTTCTCCTGACTTGCAGCCTTGGGAAATGCTTCATGAGGGCATGAATGAATCCTTATATCTCTGAACCCAAATTTCCTACAATGATTCTCTCCTATTTCTCCATCCCCATCTATTTCTACTTCTCCTTTTCATCTGTTTAATCTATTTCACAATCATTTATTGAGTACCTACTAGGAGCCAGATTCTTAGATTCTTTGTTCGAGAAATAACAAATAAACCAAACACCATCTTTTTCCTCCTGATCTCACAGTCCAGAATAGCAGACAGAGGTGTGAGAAATAGTTGCAATAACAAGTGAAAGACTAACTGCCATTTACTGGGAACTCATTCTGTACTGCTATTAGGCTAAGCACTTTACCTACATGATATCTTTTAATCCTCTCAAAATTCCCTGAACTGGGTATTATTATTATTATCATTATCATTATTATTATTATTATTATTATCTCATTTTACTGATGAGAATTCTTATGTTCAGAGAGGTTCAGGGACTTGCCCAGATTGGAATCCAGGCAGAGTGACTACAGAATCCAATGTGAATTCTTGGGCCAATGGCCTTCATTCAAATTCCACTGAAAGTAGAGACCCTATAAGAGCTGTGAGGACCGGGACCCTGGGGGAGATTAATTTTCTTTGGGAAAGTGTCATAAAAGAGATCCAGTTGAGTCTTGAAGGAGAAACAGTAGTTCATGAGGAGATGAGATAAAGACAGATATTCCCGGGAGAAGGAATATCATGTGCTAAGTAAGGCAAGGAGGTGAAAAGGAGCCTGGCAAGTTGGCAGTATGTCTAATGCCTATGTTTTCTTGTTTTTTCCCTTATTAGTTTCAGGTGCACAAAACAACATATTGATTAGAGATTTATACCCCTCAGAAAGTGATAACCCCAACAAGTCTACTACCCATCTGACGCCGTACGTAGCTATTACAATACCATTGACTCTATTCCCTATGCTGTACTTTATATCCTGTGACTATATACATATTTTTAATTATAGTTGACATTCCATATGATTTTATATTAGTTTCAGATGTACAGCATAGTGGTTAGGCATTTATACAATTTACAAAGTGATTCCCCCCGATAAGTTTAGTACCCATCTGACACTGTACTTAGTTTTTACTAATGCCTACACTTCCAGGTTAGGGAAATGCCAGGCAGGTGAGAAGGGTGATGGATGGGCAGGGAGTCCAGTGTTACTATGCATTCAATTCCTTTTCTTGCTACTACATGTGTTAGCTTTATCTGCTTGAGCTACGTTCAATGCCAGGGACTCACTTTTCACCACCACCTCATACTCTGAAGTGGTTCTCTCCTTGTTGTTTAGAATCACAGTGCATTTGTATATCCCTGCATTGTAGACCCGGGCTTGGGGGATGACATAACTCTCTGTGATCTCCGTGGAAGACACGTTGTGAAACAGCACATCATCCTTATAGAACAGCAACCTGTGCTGAGGCTTCACATGCGAGGTGGTGCTGATATCCACAATGCACTGCAGGGTCAGGTTATTCCCGTTTTCCACATGCTGCTCTGGCAGGAACTCCATGCGGATGCTGTTGATGGTGAAAGCTGAATGCCAAGGGAAGGAGGGAAGACACACCTGTTATCTCAGAAGCAACATTGTCCTGGTGACCTTCACCACATTGGACTGGTATCATCAC